CTAGAGCCCGGTCCGGGCCTGCGGTGTTGGAGGAGCTGCGCACCTGAGCCCCGGCACACCCGACGACCGTCGTTGAGTGGCCGCTGGGGTCAGCGCGGGGTCTCACACTCGATGCTGGAATCACCTGGAAGGGCTCCTTGTGCTCTGTTGAACTAGCCGCTTGTCGGAGTACCAAGCCCCTCAAGGTCTGATTGATGTCATCTGGGTTGACGCCCGTCCATCCACACGCAGTTAGTTACGCGTTTTGGGCTATTGGTTGCAAGGTTAGCGGTTTGAAACCACCAGCTGATCCGCGTAAAACGTTGTCTACTCCGGTAAAAAGTTAGTCGCAGAAACCCACAGGGGTAGTTTTACCTTGTCCTATAGGGCCTTCGTAAGTCGGCATCGACTCGATGACAATGAGATTGGATTTTGTTCCGTTTTGAATATCCGCAGAAGGAGTTCTAGCGGCGTTAGGGATTAACTGCCCCGTCGGCAATTTAAAACCACCAGCCACTCGGCCGGAGCTTTCTACTCCCGCAGAGTTACGGTCTGGGAAACCCACCAGGGTCGTTCTACCCTGTCCTCCAGGGTCTCTGTGAGTCTGGGCGGATGCAGACAACCCCTTCAAAAATGCTTTCTGAAATTCAAATGGCAGCGAACATTGCAAGGACAGTGCCAGGACTCCGGTGTCCCCGTCAGTGAGCATCTCGCTTGGAAACGTTTTGCCCCATTTGTTCCATCGCCCTCTTTCTAGGAAGAGCCTCGTGTTTCCTCATTGTTTTTCTGAGCTGGTCCTTTTTCTGAACTGTTTTAAGGTTTAGACGTGATACCCCGTCATCCCTAAATACTATCATTGTCTATGTCCCGCTCCACAAGAACACTCTCCTGCTTAACCACACGGCACAGTCATTCGGACCAGGGAGCCAACATGGATACAAGCTAACATTCACACTGTTTTCAACTAAGTCCTTTTCCTTTCTGCTCAGCATCCGTTTTATTTCATGACCATCTCCCTCCTCTGCCTTCAGTGGGCCATCCCTCGGTCATGGCCTGTCTTCACGACCTTGGCAGTTTTGCAGAGGACAGGATTTTTGTTCTGCAGGATGAACCTCTGCGTGAGTCTATCCCGCGTTTCCTCATGTCCACACTCCGGCCATGCCTTCTGGGCCGTGATTCCATAGAAAGGGTGCTGGCCTCTTTTGGGGCATCACTTCATCAGGAGGGCCATGCTGCTGACCACCGCTGGGGACATGGACCTTCACTGCCCTTGTCAAGGTGCTGCCTGCCAGCTTTCCTTACCACCAATGGAATTTTGTTTCCCTTGTCACTTTGTACCCTCCGTGGTTGATGCCTGCCAGAATCAACCACCACCCTGATGATGGGCCATGGTTGACCTTGGACTGTGAGGGAGACCTTGCCCTTCTCCCTCCTCACTTACTTATTCATTTTCTTAACATGGACCGAATGTGTTTATTCATTTTCACTTATTTCAGATGTACTTGTAAATTTTACTTATATATTTGTTTCGGTATTGGTTATATTATTATTTGTTTTGTTCAGTAGGTTGTAATCCACTCAAAGCACTTTTAAAATATTTTTCCACTTCAGCAACGTTACCTGTATAGCTCAGTGCTATTGATTGTATTCTTTGTGTTGGACAACCATTATTGATATCCTTTTCCAAATTATTCCATCACCGTTAACATAAGCTCAAAGGCCCCTAAGCAAAAACCCTTCCTCCTTCACCCATGGTTAAACTATAGGTCAAGTTTGGTTTCTCCTTCCTCCTCCTCCTCCTCCTTCTAAAGCAGCAGTTCTCAACCTGTGGGTCGAGACCCCTTTGGGAGTTGACTGACCCTTTCACAGGGGTCATCTGATTCATCACAGTAACAAAATTACAATTATGAAGTAGTAATGAAAATAATTTCATGGTTGGGCATCACCACCACATGAGGAACTGTATTAAAGGGTCGCAGCATTAGGAAGGTTGAGAAGAACCACTGTTCTAAAGTAAGGTGACCAGATTTAAAGCGGGACACCATTGACCCAGGGGGTGGGGGGTGTTCTTGATTAAAAATTTGGTCTATATGGACCAAATAGACCATTCCCTAGCTTGTTGTGCATTCTTTCTAAAAATAGGGACTTTTTTAAAACGCCAAAAATTGGGACTGTCCCACCAAAAGCGGGACGTCTGGTCTCCTTATTCTAAAGTCACCTTCCCTCAAAGCACTTTGCATTGTCCTGCTTGAATTGCCCCAGGTTTGGCAGTGAGGGCCCCTGTACATAGGCGGCTCCGTCTTTGGCATGCCTCCATCATTCTCTGAGCTCCTTCTTCCTTTCCACATAACATGACGTGCCAGGCGCATCTCGAAGTTCCCCCACCCCAACTCAAATTTCTTTAATGTTTTATTAGTATCTGCTTCATATCATACAACATAATCATTCAATCAGATTAAGAAGATTTCACAATCAGTGCCACAATCCACTTCAGAACATTTTCTTCTCGTACTCTTTGTTATTAGCTCGCATCTCCTCGCATCCTCCCCAGCTGTGTACCTAGGCAATTATCAATGCAGTTATCTCTATAGACCTGGACTTCATCTACAGAAAATCACATGAAACCCAGCCAGGAAGCAAGCAAACAAAAGTCAACAACAACGACTAGACAAAACAGGAAGACCCCCAAACACAAAGAAAGCAGAAAAGATTAAAAACGAAAACCTCTTGTAAAAGGGTCAAAATGGAGAACAAATGACCAGGTGCTACATTTTCTTTCTCTTATCAGTATATCCTTTTTATTTCTGTTTCTTTTTAGCATTTTATTGGTATATAGTTCACATATCATACAAATCAATAGTTCAATCACATTAAGAAGAGTTGTGCAATCATCACCACAATAAATTTTAGAACATTTGCTTTTTTTTTTAAACATTTCCTTCTAATACTCGTTATTAGTTCCCTATTTCTCCCAAACCTCCACTGCCACACCCCCAAAACCATTAATCTAGCTATTGTCTTAATAGATTTAGCGATCCAGAATTTCATATACAGGGGGAATTTTTTTTAACTAACCACACCAAAGTGAAACAGAGAAACCCTTCAATCAAAATGAAAGCAGA